TTCCAGGGGGCTGAGGATGTGGCATGGGCCGTCCAGGGGAGCCCACAAGAAGGGCCTCTGACAACTACATCTGTCACTCCTCAGTCATGTACTCCTGGGGCGTGACAGAATGGTCTTATGGAGTCATCATTTGGATGATTCATCCCAGTCCCAGGGCCAGCTGCTGGGAGACCCTTCCTGTGCTTTTTTCACGGGCTGCAGACTGCCTCTGCCCCTTTCCCCGATCTTCCTGAGCATCAGGGGCCTTGGGCTGGAAGGGAGAGTCTTCATGTTAACCCTCAATGTCTGGGTCTGGGGGCCCAGCTCTGTCCCCAGATGCCTCCTGCTGTGTCTCCCCCATCTCCTCCCCTACTCACCACCACGCACATTGGCCATCGCCGCCTTTGTGGAGGCGGATAAGAGCATGTCCTTAAGGCTTGGCCAGCTTCCCTTAGCCAGGAGGAAGGGCTGGCCAGTGCCGCTAGGCCCGGCTGGGAGGGCTGGGACTTGCCACCCTTGCTACCTGCTCCAGAGGGGGTTCAGGGACAAGTGGCAGGGTGGGGGTGCAGCACATGCCCTAAGGATGGCCTGATGGGGGAGGGCAGGGCCTCCCTGTGCCGGGCACTGTTGACCACTTCTGTCACAAAGGCCTTTTGTTCTCTGCACAGGACACACTGAATAATAATTCTCTGGGCAAGAAGCACAGTTGGCAGGACCGGGTGTCTCGATCATCCTCACCCCTCAAAACAGGTAAGTCAGCACCTTCTCCCAGACTCCCACCTGCCCTGACCCGGCCCCCTCTGCACAGAGCCCCCCAGGAGCCTCCAGTTTGAGAGTAGGGGTAACTGGCCTGTCCCACAGCCTTGGGTAGGCCCGTCCGAGGTGAGCTGTGGCGGGAGTGGGAGGGCCTGTGGCTGAGTGGAGGGGGCAGGTGGCCTGGGCACCAACGGTGAGGGCGCCTGCCTGCAGCACTGACCCGCCCGCTCTCCAGGGGAGCAGACACCTCCACATGAACACATCTGCCTGAGCGATGAGCTGCCACCGCAGAGCAGCCCTGCCCCCACGACGGACCGAGGCACCTCCACCGAGAGCCCGTGCCGCCGCAGCGCTGCCACCCAGATGGCACCTCCCAGTGGCCCTCAGGCTGCCCCACCTGGTGGCCGGGGCCACTCGCATCGAGACCGCATCCACTACCAGGCGGACGTGCGGCTAGAGGCCACTGAGGAGATCTACCTGACGCCGGTGCAGCGGCCTGCAGACCCTGCAGAGCCCACCTCCGCCTTCTTGCCACCAGCTGAGAGCCGGATGTCGGTCAGCTCCGATCCAGACCCTGCCGCCTACCCCTCATCGGCAGGGCGGCCGCACCCCTCCATCAGTGAGGAGGATGAGGGCTTCGACTGCTTGTCCTCTCCAGAGCGGGCCGAGCCGCCAGGTGGAGGGTGGCGGGGGAGCCTGGGGGAGCCGCCGCCACCTCCACGGGCCTCGCTGAGCTCGGACACCAGCGCGCTGTCCTATGACTCGGTCAAGTACACGCTGGTGGTAGATGAGCATGCACAGCTGGAGCTGGTGAGCCTGCGGCCGTGCTTCGGAGACTACAGTGACGAGAGTGACTCGGCCACTGTCTATGACAACTGCGCCTCTGCTTCCTCGCCCTACGAGTCGGCCATCGGGGAGGAATATGAGGAGGCGCCCCGGCCGCGGCCCTCTGCCTGCCTCTCTGAGGACTCCACACCTGATGAACCCGATGTCCACTTCTCCAAGAAGTTCCTGAACGTCTTCATGAGTGGCCGCTCTCGCTCCTCCAGTGAGTCCGCAGCAGGAGCTGGGGGGGTCCTGGGTGGGAAGAGCTGAAACGAGGGTGTTCCTGGGAGGTGGCCTCAGGCCCATCTGGTTCACGACGTAAGGACCGAGGGCTCTCTGCCTGCCCCTTCAACCTGGACCAGAGCTGGGGCCCCCCTCCTCCAGCTGGTCCCCTTCACCCACAGGTGCAGAGTCCTTTGGGCTCTTCTCCTGTGTCATCAACGGGGAGGAGCAGGAGCAGACCCACCGGGCCATATTCAGGTAAGAGCACCAGAGCGGAGCCATCAGGCAGCGGCCGGGGCCACCCCGCCCTGCCATCACCGCAAGGCCTAAACCCATCCCCAACGCTGGCGCGCATCCATCCGCGCAACCCCGGGGGACAGTGCCCACCCTCTCGGAACCCAGGGTACGGGGACAGAGGGATGGTTCCGGGCAGTGTGGCCTTTGCCGTGCTACCAGAGCACAGGAACAAGCGCCTGAGCTGGCCAGGACCAGGGCCCAGGAGGGCGCCCGGCAGATGCGGCACCTGACCCCACACCAAACCTACCCCTTTCTCCATGTGGAAGCGTTTGCTTCCCATCGCCTCTCACCATTTTATTAGTGCCTCTGGTCACTTCCTCTGTTGCTTTGTGAGTTGCTCTATGGCGGGGCCATGTCTGATAGGCTTTGGCCTCCCCCAGGAGCTCACACTGACAGGCTCACAGAATGCTTTTCAAATGTTTATTGAACTGACCGTGCTGGTGCAGCTCCCCGAGCAAGGCGTGGAGTCGACAGATGCCCTGGCTGGAGAGGCCCTGTGGTGAAGTCCTCACATGCCCTCTTTGGGGACAGGTTTGTGCCTCGACATGAAGACGAACTTGAGCTGGAAGTGGATGACCCCCTGCTGGTGGAACTGCAGGCTGAGGACTACTGGTATGAGGCCTACAACATGCGCACGGGGGCCCGGGGCATCTTTCCTGCCTACTACGCCATCGAGGTCACCAAGGAGCCTGAACACATGGCAGGTAGTGTTCCTTCCCCTGCCCCAGTGCCACCAGGCCCCACATCTTCCCTGCTCCAGCTGCTGCCACGCAAACCTGTGCTCCAGATCTCAGCCACCCAGGGAGGGGCCGGGCCGAGGGGGCTTTGGGTCAGTTTCACAGTTGATTACAGTGAGGCCCAGCCATGCTTGGGCATCCACGGACCGTGGCACCCTCTGCTGGCCCTGCCTCTCCTTACGTCGTGCTTGCTTTCCAGCCCTGGCCAAAAACAGCGACTGGGTGGACCAGTTTCGCGTGAAGTTCCTGGGCTCAGTCCAGGTTCCCTACCACAAAGGCAATGACGTCCTCTGTGCTGCTATGCAAAAGGTACCTGCTTTCTGCTCCCCTGCAGTGGGTGCCCAGCCCCAGCCCAGTCCCCGGCTGCTCCTGGGAGAGGGACACCCCATACCTGACGGTTTTGTCCCTCACCCACAGATTGCCACCACTCGCCGGCTCACCGTGCACTTTAACCCGCCCTCCAGCTGCGTCCTAGAGATCAGCGTGCGGGGCGTGAAGATAGGCGTCAAGGCGGATGACTCCCAGGAGGCCCAGGTGACTGCCCTGGCCCTCCCCCCAGGCTCTCCCAGCTAGTCTGCTTCCTCAGCCCCCTGCAGGCTGATGACCACCTTCCTCTCTTCCTCCTGTAGGGGAATAAATGTAGCCACTTTTTCCAGTTAAAAAATATCTCTTTCTGCGGATACCATCCGAAGAACAACAAGTAAGTGGCGTGGAGCAGCGGTCGAGGTGTGGGCCGGGGGCCTGCAGCCATTCTGGCAGGGCGGGGGCTGTGCATGTGTCTGAAGGGGTCTGAGCCCCCACCCCACCCACAGACAGACCGCGATCCTCCCACAGGTACTTTGGGTTCATCACTAAGCACCCCGCTGATCACCGGTTTGCCTGCCACGTCTTTGTGTCTGAAGAATCCACCAAAGCCTTGGCGGAATCTGTGGGGTATGTATGCGCGTACCCCAAGCGCCAGGCCCACCAGCCAGCCCCAGCCCCAGGCCCTCAAGCACAGGCCTCGTGCTCAGTGTCCCCCTTAGTCCTCTGCCCACTCTGCACACCGTGTCCAGGTCAGAGCACAGTGGCCTCGAGAGAGGCCTGGGCGGTCTTGAGGAGTAGCTTCCAAACACTTTAGTTACTGGACCCTTTCTTTAACTGCAGTCTTACTCAGGAAACATAGTTTGTACACAACAGAGTTGGGCAGCAGCTGGGGGAACTGGAGCCCAAGGCTCCCGCCTGGAAAGGGTTAGGCTCCTGTTCCCCGAGCCCAGTCAGCGTGCGTGTCTGCCTGTCTCCTAGGAGAGCGTTTCAGCAGTTCTACAAGCAGTTCGTGGAGTACACCTGCCCCACGGAGGATATCTACCTGGAGTAGCAGCGCTGCCCTGCCCTCTGCATCCCCCGGGCCTTCGGGCCAGTGCCAGGACAGCTGGCTGCCGACAGGACGTGGCACTGCTTGAGGGAGGGCACCGCCACCACCAGGGGATGGGGAAGTGGAGGCCGTTGGCCACGGGTGGGAGGGTGGGGGTTATGGGGAGAGGCAAATGCAGATTATTGTAACATAAGGGGTTAGACTCATCTATGGAGGACAGAGCGGGCTGCCCGGAAATTGTGGGGCAGGGCTGGTCAGGCCTCTGGCCAGGAAGGACGCCCCTCCCCAGGAGTAGAGGGTTCCGTCTCATCCTGGGCCTCACTTTCCCTGCTGGGGCCTCTGGCTCCCTGGCCGTTGGCCTCTGCCTTGATGAAGCCCACGCCACCTGAGAGTGCCCACCCCGCCCTCAGCTCCCAACCCCAGGCAAAGGCCCTGAGCGCAGGCTGAGCCCAGCCACCTCCCGAGGACTTCCCAGTAAGGAAACAGCAGTCGGTGGAGGTGCAGGCCCCGTTCCCAGCTGTCACCCGTGTGGCCTCTTGATGGCTCCACCACCGACCTCACCGGCATGCTGGCCCCTGGCAGGTGGGGGCCCCTCGAGGAAGGAGGGTGCCCGCAGCAGGGCCCCACGCTGGCAGGAGAAGGGGGGCTTCCCAACTGGCCCAGCCTCTCGGCTGCTTTGGCTGTAGCCCCACCTTGGTCCTGTCACCCTGGCCACAACTATTAAAGTGCCATTTCCTGTCTGGACCACAGTGGTGTATCTGCACGGACCCTGCCCACCCCCAGCTCACTTCCATCCCAGGAAAGGCCAACCCTTGCTGCACAGAATAGCTTTATAAGGGGGTCCCATCACAGACGTGTGTCGTAGTAGTACTCAGCCATGTCGGGGCCATCCCGCTTGCGCTGCTGGGCCTGGGAGAGGAGGGGTCGAGGCCCTCGTGGCCAGGGGTGCTTCGGTCGGATCCCATAGTCTGAAGGGAAAAGAGGGTATGGGTGGTAGGGAGAACCTGGTTTTGAATCTGCTGGAGTCACCCCTGAACAGATGCCATTTGGCATAAGAAGACCCTGTGGCTGGACCTGAGTGCCCTCCGTGCCCTCCCCAGGGCATGTCTCCCCGCTCAGGGGAGGCGGGGGAACGGGCAGGAAGAGACAGTACCATCCACCAGGCCGGACAGTGGCTGCGAGAGTTCCAGGGGGGCCGAAAATTCCTCAGAAACAGATCGCTGAGGCCTGCGGGAGATGGGGTGCTCAGCGCTGGCCCCAAAGGTCACCGTCACCTCCCTTTGAAGCAGGGAACAGCCCAGGATAATGGCACTGAGCCTCTCCTCCGGGGAGGGGGCAGCGTGGCAGAGCCACCCCCCCCCCGCCCCCACCTTCCAGGCCCTGCCCGTTGAGCCCTGACCCTGTGCTCCTGGGAGTTACCTCAGCGGGTGGGGGCGGAGCGCAGCCGCCAGGATGAGGTGGAGGAGGAGGCTCAGCCTGGCCCTGGGGTACAGCGCCATCTCCAAGCTCCGGTGCTGGATCCGGCTTCTGCTGGCCCCTCCCCCTGCGGAAGAACGGAACCCCGCCAACTCGCAGGGCCACCTCACAAAGGACATTCGTTCCAGGGCTCAGCACCAGCTCCTGGCTGGGCCAGACACCTCCACGGTGAGGTTTGCTTTCTGTTTCATCTTACTGCCACCGTAGGTTAGCAGGTGCCCAACCACAACCTGTTCTAGTGCCGCTGCCCAAGGGTTAAGGGCACAGCACGCTGGAGCCAGCTCTCCGTTCAAATCTCCGCCCGGCTTCTTGCTAGGTGGCCACGTCAATCTCTGTGGGCCTCGGTTTGCACATCAGCAATGTAAACACATGATGTCTCCAAGGCCTGGCGCACAGTAGGCCCTCAGCAGAGGTCATCATCACCAAAGTCACATCACCTAGAGCCCCGTCCATTCGCACTCAGCCTCCCACCGCCACCGTCGCTGTCCCTCGAACAGCTCAGTGAACCCACGAAGGTCCTGCCAGCTGAAGGGCCCAGAGCGCGCACTCAGCCTTGCCGGCTCGGAGATGCCCCTGGAGCGGGGGCAGGGCAGGTCGATAGGGGCCACGCTAAGGGACTCCCCCAGCTTAAAACAACCTGGCTCGGGGCCTCCGCAGGCCCTGTCACCACCCCCAGGGCTGGACAGAGGGCTTTCAAGTTCCGTGGCAAAGCCTAGGACCTGATGCCCCATCAGAGCATATGCTTCTGGAGGGCAGGAGCTCCGGGGCCCCAGCACTTGACACCTGGTGGGTGCGCAATAAATACTTGCTGGATGAGTAAGTGCAATGTGGCCATTTACTGCAGTCTCCTCTCAGGCCTGAGGCAGCTGTGGGGCCCTTTGGTTCCTGCCCAGCCCATTGACCAGGGCCGGCCCAGCTCACTGCGGGAGCCCCAGACCCAAGGCTCTAAAGATGGACCCTGGGCCCCACCTAGACCTGTGGGATTGGCGCCTGAGGGCTGAGCTGGGGGTCTGCACTTAGGAAACCCGGCTCCCCCTAAGACAGCAAATCTATTAGCAGGCCCACCCCCCTCCTTCAACTGCTGAGATGCCCCAGAGGGGGATGCCCTTGTTTCCAACCCTAGCTCCTGGCCCAGAGTAGCCCCCTGAGCCTGACCAACTCCGAGTCTCCTTCAGTGCACCTGCTTCCAGTGCTCAGAGCCCAAGCCCTGACTTCTCACTGACCACCTACCTCCCTGAACACAAGTCTCCTGCTTCTGTATCCCGTCTCCACCAAAGTTCGCCCCCGCTGGGAACTGAGTTCTGGGCACTCCGACTCCAAGCCCTTGACCTTCATCACCCCCACTCCCTTCAAGATGCCATCTCTTCCTCTCTCTTTTTTTAAAGATTTTATTTATTTAATTTTAGAGGGGGAGGGATAGAGAGGGAGAGAAACATACATGGATGTGTGAGAGACACATCCATCGGTTGTCTCTTGCCTGCTCCCAACTGGGGACCTGGCCCACAACCCAGACACGTGTCCTGACTGGGAATCGAAATGACCACCTTCCTGTTCATGGGTAGATGCTCAATCCACTGAGCCACGCCAGCCAGGGCCGCCGCTCCCTCCCTACCCGCAGCCAGTCTGAAGGCCTGCCTGGGTTCCTCCTAAATCTATCCCCGTGCCATGGCCCTAATTCTGCCCCGGCCATTGTTCCAAATCTCCGCCAGCAATGTCACCGCTCTATCCTCCATCTCTGCCCATCCGTCAGCCCGCCCCGCCCCACTGCCTCCCACAGGCAGGTCACCTGGTGTGGGATGGCCCGTTGGATCTGGCCCCAACCGCGTCCTCCAGCCTCCACCAGTCCCCACCCTCTGCTCCCTCCTGCCCCGGCACTGGCTTCATGCCACTGACACTGCCCATACTGTTTTCTGCACACATGGCCTCCGCGCCCAGTCCGCCCATCAAAGAACAGATGTTTTACCAGTCTGGAAGACTGCTTGGACGGAGGTTCCCTTGAACAATAAACCTTCCCCAGCTGTCAGCCTGAGCCGGAACGCGCCCACTCGCTCACCCCATCTAAACTACTCTCTGTACACACTTCTACCCGCATTTACATGCCTGTCTCCTCCCCCTGGACTGCTGGCTGCAAGGGCTGTGCTTTACTCATTTCTGAGCACTCAGCACAAGGCCCCGAGCTTGCTACAGAGCAAGTGCCCAGTGACGCTTGTTACACTCAGCACAAGATGGTGGGCCTTGAGTTGTGACCACTGAAGCTCAGTGCCTTCATCCCCCAGCCCAGCGCCTGGGATCAGTGGCTTCTCAGAAACGCCCAGGGAAAGCAGTGGGGAAAGGCCAGACCCTCGGGGGGTGAGGGGGGCCTCCCCAGGGGGTCTGGGCGGCAAAGTTCCATGGACAGCAGCGCAGATGGAGTTCTCTCGGAACCGAAAGGGCCACCTGTCCAGCTGGGACCGCCAGCAGAAGAGCGCTCCGTTCACAGGGTGAAGGGGACGGGGCAGAGGTTAGGAAAGGGAGACCAGGCAGAACCTGCACCCAGCTTTCTCCCAGCGCTGCTTGAGCCACCATTCCTTCCAGCCCAGCATCAAGTCCAGTGCTGGTGGGTGCCTAACAGTCTTTCCCAGAAGAGGAAAACCTTTTGCTCTCAACTAGGTCAGGGCTTGAGGTACCCCCTGCACAGAGCTGGGCCCACTGATCACCAGGCCCCTCACAGCGACGCTGGCAAGCAACAGGGCCCTGTGGGGAAGGCACAGACAGAGGCCCTGGCCAGGAGACACACAGGCAGCTGTCATCGCCGCCCAGTTCCGCCTCATCAACAGGATGTGCTGAGAGAGAGGCACTTTACTCCCGCAGCTGCCCCGAAAAGCAGCTTCCCGTGCTCGAGGTTAAATCCTAGCTTTCTGTGGCTGAGGAACAGGGTCCCGGTCCGAGCAGAGGCTTTAGTCCAGTGACAGTGGCTCCAACACCAGAGGGTGCAGTCCAAGTCAGGGTGTTGCAGAGGCTCCGGCGGCACCCGGGGCTGCGTGCAGAGCCTGGCCAGGGTGGGAGTGCCAGGCACCCCAGACCGCGGGCACGGAGAGGCCACAGGCTTGGGTACTGCCAGAGTCAGTTTTATTAGGGCAGAGGGGCCCGGAGAACTGAAAGGCTGAGGCACCCCTGCCCCTCCCCGCCCCCCACCCCTACGACGTCTGTCAGCCCCAACTGTAGAAATAAATTTTCTGCCAGGTGGGCAAGTAATCCATGAGTGGCCCTGCAATGGGAGCACGAGAGAGAGAGAACAAATGCAAGTTCAGGGCCGAGGGTCAGCCACTGCGCTCAAATCCAGCTGGTCACATCTGCAGAGCCAGGAGCCCGACTCCCTCGCCTCTTCCCCCCTAGGGAGGGAGCACGTGCCACAATCTTTGTCTCCACTTACAGACCAGGGTTCCCAGGTTCAGAGAGGCCACATGGCTTTCCAGCTGCAGAGGCTGACAGCCCAGCCCAGTGACTCTCTGCTGAGGTGGAATCCCCAACGGCCTAGCAGGCTCTGTCCCCGCCAGAGTCGGGCTCCACTCAGAGTCTCTGGTTCCCCCAGGACACAGAGGCAGGGGAAAGGCTGACACCCTGGTCAGGCTTAACTTTCCTCCCTCCACGGGCCAGCCAGCCCTTGTCCAGGAGCTCTCGCCCACCTAAGCTGACCTCTGTCTCCCTATGCAACAATCCAATGACAAGGAGACAGAGGAAAAAAGGCAGGGGGACCGGGCCATGCATGAGATCCATCACACTGTAATAATCGCACTGTGCCCCGTGCTCACTTGCGACCAGGCCGATGCCCGGGACGTGGTCTGCCAGCAGCTGGAGCAGGAAGAGGATCCTGGCCCTGCGAGGAGATAAATGGGGGGGCAGGCTGAGCGGGGTGCCTGGGTCCCTGGAAATGAGGGTGCTGACACACCTTCGCCGGCCACCTGACTACAAGCAGTGCACTGTAAGGCAGGAAGTAACTACGGCGCGAGGACAGACCCCAGCACAAAGGACGAGACCTCCGGGCATGGCGCTGGCCCTGCCCCGTCCCAGCCACCGGCAGGCCTGGGATGCTCACAGAGGCAAGGCAGCCTGGCTCCAGAGACGATGTTGTCTCTGTGACAATAAGAAAAAGGGAAGCAAGACTGTGCCTTCCTGGACTGCACCCTGCTCCTGTCCTCTGGGGCAACAAGGAATTTCTCTGACTGCTTTCCAGACCTTTCCAGTCTGGGCCACCGCCCTGAGGGTGCCAGGCCAGCCAGGTCAGTGGAGAGCGAGCCAAGCCAGAGGCCTGCAGCCTGGGAAGCCGCCTCTGCAACCACCGTCCAAAATCCTGCTGGTCAATGGGATCCTGGGGCTGTGGTGTTCCCTCTGGTAAAGGCATGCAGTTTGTGGGGATGTGGGGAGACTCGTGTAAGCCTCTAGAGTATGGAGCAGGGTTTGGCTCTAGTATCATATGAGTTTTTAAACTTATCTCAAAGTAGGGACTGCCAGACAAAGTTAGTTTTGCTGAGGTGGCATCAAAAATGACATAAGCTTGCTTTCTACTGCCTCAAACAAAAACAGAGGTGGTGTGGCCATAATATGAAGTACAGTTCCAATTAATGCTCCAGTCTTTAAGCAGCATAAGGTTAAAAACCTACACAGGGGGCTCCTGGGAGCCTCCAGTCTGTCTCACGGCCCCAGCTGCTACTCAGGGAGCCCTTCTCAGTTCTCGGCCTGACCTCCGGCGGCCATCCCTGGGAGACCTGTCCCTGAGCACCCCCCACAACAGGCCCCCCTCCGGCAGGCCTCTCTCTGTCTGGCGGAGACTAGGAGCTCTGGACTCTGCACTGGTTGGCTGGAGGGCTTTGTTTAAGCTGCCCCAACCTCTTTGAACCTCAAACGCCTCCCAAAAGAAGTGGGGGTAGTCCAAACTCTTTGACAGGACTGTGCAAATGAGCCAGAGGGTGTGGAAAGCCTGAAGCCCCCGCCATCCCTTGTAGCATGGCCCTGTGTGTGTCTCCTGTCAACAACTGCTTAAGCCCCTATTTGCATGGGCTTGTGGTCCCAAAAGCTTGGAGGTTGGGTCTAGGCTGGATCCAATAAATGAGTGACCACACTGCAGGACGGCACATGGCAGGTGCTCGTGAACCCGGGATGGAGGAAGGAGGGAGGAAGGAAGGGGATGGCACATCGGTGTCCCACTCCACACCGCTCTCCCTTGCTGAGGGTGGGCCCCGCATTTGCTGTAGGGCGCTTACTCGGAGAAGCGGTCGTAGAACGGGGAGCGCAGCAGGTAGTAGAGCAGCAGGATGGTCCGACGCCGCAGCTCCAAACGCTCCCTCCGGCTCAGGCCCTTCCTGTCGCTCAGGAGGCTCAGGCTGGGCAAAGGAGGTAACACAGTTAGGGCCAGCAACAGGAGAAGGGGCGTCTGCCTGCCGGGAGAGGCCAGGCCTGCAGCACGAAGCTCAGCAGAGGGAGTGGGGCCTCCAGACAGGCCCAGGCTCACCTGGTGACATCCACGACACCAGAAAGGAGCCAGGGCGTCCATGAGCGCTGACCCCATATGCCCAGGCTAAGCACTGATGGCCAAGGCGTCAAGGATGTCTCCAGCACAGGGCCCGCCCTGCGCATTCCCATCGTCCCTACCCCCGAGTGGCAGCAGCCCCACGCTAAGGATACAATGCAGCAGGGGCCGGGCAATATACAAGGACTCTGCAATGGTCTCCTGCAGCCCCAGTGGGGTGGGGGTGATGCTCAGTTCCTCCTCGTGCCGCTGCTGCCATCTTTCCTGCTGCTGGGGGGCTCCCCAGTGCCTTGAGTGCAGGGACGGAGCTAGAACACAAAGGCGGATGAGCAGCCAGGCCCAGGCTGGGGCAGGGGGAGGGCAGGTGGTGATGACAGCCAGACCCTTAGCCCCACAGTGACCTCAGATCTGAGATGCCCAGTCCAGCTGTGTCCTACACTTACTGTTCTGGAGGGTTCGTACCACTCGGTTTGACCGCTTCCCCACGTATGACTGCTCCTGGCTGCCATGGCTGTGCTCACCGTCTAGCAGAGAAAGACAGAGGGCCACGCTGTCAGAAGGACATGCCTCCAGCAGAGCCCGCACAGAGTGTGTGTTGCAAATGAATGCTCATGGGCTAAGGGGAGAACGGATGAACTTGTACTAAGAACAGCTGAGTCAAGGACACTGCATCAGGGACTGTGGCCCAACCTGGCACCTGCTTGTAGTGGGCAGCATTCTGCCACCTTCCCTGGCCTAAAAAGAGGTCAGCATCACCTGTGGCACATGAACCAGCCAAGAACCCAGGCTTCCAAGGGACTGGAACAAGGCAGGGACAGCCCAGCCACATCTGCAGAAACCCGGCACCAGAGGGGTTATATCTTCAGTCCTTGGCTCTCAACATGTTCGTGAGAAACTGCCCCCACTAAAGGCGAGGAGAGCAAGGCTCAGAGACCAACAGGAGATGGGCCCAAAGCTCTGAAGGGACAGATTTGTCCCGTGTCCTGCCTCATGATCCCGGGATGCTTAATATAGAGCCAGGCCCAGGAACAAAGTTGGTATGATCCCTGTCTCCTGCTGAAGCTCTGTCCCCTCTCCGTGCAGCCCACAAAAAAGGATGAGGACTCTGATGTCAGAAGTCCTGAGCTCAAATTCCGATTCTGCTCCAACCTAATCTTTATATTTTCTTCTCTGTAAAATACAGGGTGATGAGACCAAATGAGTCGATGGGGACAGATGCGCTCTGTAAGAGGACGATATTCATTTGGTCGCCTCTAAAGCCACAAACCAGTCCCGTGCTCAGTTCCACTCCAGAATGGGGAAGCCACTTACCCGGGGCCTGTGCCTGGGCCTCCCTGTCCAGGGGGGCGATGGGGGGTGAGGTCTGGAGGCCAGCCTTGAACCAGACGAGCAGGAACATTCGCAGGACCGCCCTGGATTGGGAGCACGGCAGGGCTGAGGGGAAGGTGACTAGCGGCACAGGTACCGGGGTGCTCTGCTGAACCCCATCTATACAACTGGCCTTGGTTACCCCGACCCGGGGCCCTCCACAGCCCCAACATACTTGGCCAGCTGGATGAGGGCAACGACGAGCCAACGGCCCGCTTCGCCCCACACCTTGGCGGCCCCCATCTCCATGAACACCTCCACGCATTCCAGCACACTCAGCCACGTCAACAGCTTCTGCTGGGACAGCGACTGCAAGAACCCCGGGCCAAGAGGTCAACGGGCATCCCCATATCCCCAGCTCTCCCCCAAGGGACTCCTCTGAGAAGAGAGGTAGCTTTTCCCCTTTCCAAATGTGGAGGTCTGAGCTCTCTACCTGGGGCAGGCTGCTGCATGTTTCTGAAACAGTCTCTTCATGTGAGATGGAGACATTGACACCTTGACACTTCACCTAATGAGACGCCTGAGGCTCACATGGATGTGGGCATGTCTCGTATTCTATGAGACCATACAGCGTGTGCTATACACACAGGCAGGCTGGTTGTTGCTGTTTCTTTCCCAAGTCCCTATGCTTTCCGCCCTCAGTTCCTGGCAGAATTCTCACCACGGGCAGCTTTTTCCGAAGCTCCTTCCGTAGGATCCCATCATTGAGCAACACAAGCAGGTTGGAGGCGGAGTACACTGAGGGGTAGAGTGTGGTTTTGAGAGGCTGGCTCTGCAGCCTCCACCCCATCACCTTCTCCCCAGAGCTGCATGGGTCAGCCACCCACAGATTATGTGGAAACCGACCTGCCTCCCTGTCCACTTCTTCAGAGCTCCACACTCCCCAATATGATCTCATGTGCATGGGTGGAATGAGAAAGAATGGTTTGATCTCAGTGACAAACTGGCCCAGAACTGCCCACTGTGCTTCAAATAGCCACAGGTGTGTGGCTTCACCTCCTGGCCTCTGCTTTCTCTGCAGCCTGTTCCTGAAAGTCTATTTCATTTCCACCTTTCAAAACCCAGCTCATCCTTTCAGGTATGTCACGTCCAGTATTCACTAAGCAAATACTACAGAGTGACTTACAGTCTGCGGATCCAGGAACTGGGAGCTCTGGATTTGAATCCTGGTTCCAGGATCATCAGTGCCTGTTCCCTAACCTCAACGAACTTCTGCTCTCTTAACTGAACACCGAGGGCAACGGTACCCACTTTATGTGACTGTAGGAAGGATTAACTGGGCAAAGGCAGGGAAAGCACTTGGCCCGGCCCTCTGACCCGCAGACTTGTTTCTCAACTATGGGGGCATAGAGTGCACAGGAAAGTGGACGCTGGACCTTTGTCCGACTCAGTAACAGCACAGGATGATCTAACGGGAAGTCCAGGACTGCGACCTGGGGTGACCACCCGCCCCTCTGAGAAGCCCTCCTGAGCCATCCCGCCCCCCACCCAGCCCTGAGCCCGGCTCACCCAGCTCTGACAGCTCGTGCGAATCGGCGAAACGACCTGAGAAGGCACAGAAGGAGGCATCTGTGAGCTTCCTCACCGTGCGTCTTTGGGTCCCTGGATGTCCCCTCCCAGCGCCCTACGGGAACCCGGAAGGAACTTCCCAAACACAGAGATCACTACCCTGACTCTGGAGGGAAAGGGACCAGTCGGGTCGGAGGTCAGAGCCCCGAAGGGATGGGTCAAAGGTCGGGGTGGCACCTGCCAGCAGGTAACTGAGGCCCCGCACTGCCGTCTCCAGCTGGGCCGTGGCGGCCGGGTGACGAGTCACGTACTCCTGGTAGCGCAGACCCAGGAGCCGCAGCTTCTCCATCCTGCCCTATGGGCCGACAGAGGTACTGACCGACAGTACGAGTGATTGCGGAGCCCTGCTTCCTGCGCCCTCCTTCCTGCTTCCGGTGCTAGGCCTGCCTCTCTGTTGCTTAACTTCCGCGGTCCAGGAGGACGGCGACGTGAAGGGCCATTGAACCCCACCATCACCCCATTTCTTATAACACCTCCCACCAGGGTAGCGCCTAGCAACTGCGGGACTAATCCCGCCCCCCTACTCCTTCAGATCATTGGTTAACACACTCTCCGCCCCCGCCCCCTATTCGCTCAACACTGTCGCGACCCTGCTTTTACGCCTTCCCGGTTGGCTGTCCTTGCGCCTGCGCAGTTACACCTCCGAGAACGCTCCCGGGCAGCCTGAGACGATCGTTCCAGGAAAGGGTTCGGGAGTCTAGAGTCTTTCCAATAGAACGCCGAGAGGTTCCAACGGGAGGACTGTATTTTAAAAGGCTGGGAGGCAGCGCGCGGAAGGAGCCGCCAGCAGACTTGAGGAGGCGCCCAGGGAGTCTAAAAACAGACGGAGTGTGTATCTCTGCAGGCGCGCCTGTGGCCAATTTCGTCGTCTCCCGTCCCCCACCACAAGTAGTGCTGGGGGAAACTGAGGCAGAGAGGGGTCCAGCATCCCACGCAGGCTCGATCCCCCTGCCAGCACCGTTAGTGCCCCGGCTTCGGCACCAGCTCCGGCAAGGACTTTGCCCATCAAGAGCGCGCACTTTCACTGCCACCTCTGTGGAGAAACCTTGGCCTGGACATCTGCTCTCGGCTCGGGAGTTTTTCTCTGGGCCTCGGATTTCCCCATCTGTAAAATGGTTTGAGGGCAGACTGGTCCTTGAACTTGGGATCAATTTCAAAGCGCTCTTTGGCCCTCGGATGCACCTCCCGATGTTCAGCTGCTCCCCAAGGGATGGGGGTGGGCCCTGGGGATTCCTTTCCAAACAGGGCAGCCTCCTTGGAAGAGGTAGCGACGGGAAACGAGGAGCGAGAGGCGGAGGGAAAAGAGACGCTCCTGTGAGGCAGCCATTAGCTGCGGAGAAAGGGGCGGGGCATGCGCGCTGCCGTGCAGATCCCGACTGTGCACAAGGGAAGGATCCGTTTAAGAACCCTGTCGAGATTTGAATCCTGGTCTAGTCTGACCACAGAATGTAGGTGTTTTAAGCAACACATCTCACCAGGGAGCCACAGTCCCTCCTTGCACTCCCTTTCCCGAGCCTTCTCCGCAGTATAGTTTTCTATATCCAGTGGGAAATCACAGCTTCCTGGCCTATGAAGGCCGAGGGAGATGTGCCCACGGCCCTCGGGAAAGGCAAAGGAATTGGAGGCTCAGGAGGTGGGCGAGGCATCACCAGCAACATTTCTCACCATCTCCAGTGCTAGGCTCGCTCACCACCGTCTTCTTAGCAACCTTGCCATGTTGCTAGAAATTCCTTTACACAGATGGAGAGTAAAAGGCCCAAGGAGGGGAAACGACTTACCCCCGGTCACAAAGCATGGCATTGCCAAAAGGACCATAATGCAGGTCTCCGGTGGCAGTGTTCTCTCCCCTACTGCCCACCACACAGAGCAGTGACACGTTGAGGCCGTTTGGTCATGAGTCAAGTTAGCAGCTGGGGTTAAATTAAGACCAGGGCTCAGGTTATTCAGGGATGTGGGCTGCTTTCTCCCTTCCTTCCTGCACCTCACCATCTAAATGAACTTGTTCCCCAACCCTCACCAGTGGGTACTCCTCTGCCCCTTTGCTCCGTGGCTGTGGCAGGAGTCAGGAGGAAGAGTGTGCGGTGTCTTGGGCACTGCCAGGCTGGTGATCCTCCACATTTGGGAAGGAGAGGCATGGAGAACAGAGGGGTAGGCTCCCCCAGACAGAATTTGAGAAGTTCTTGAGCCTGTTTCTCTTACTTCCTTTCAGGACTGGGAGGGGATTATGGGCCCAGCGAGGCTGACTACAGGAAGGTGGCCTGTTCCTCTCCAGACTCTGGGCCTGCTTAGGTCCCAGAGACAAAGAGTGGCATGTGCAGGAGGCGCCCAGGGCAGCTCCTCCCGCTTCTCCTTGCTGGGCCCCTGCCTGGATTTGATTGCCTGACTGGGCTGGAAGGGCCTCTGGGCAGGTTGGGCCAAATGTCCCCTCCTTAATTCTGCCCTGAGCCACAGGGGAAGAGAGCTAGACCAGTCTACTAGGGACAGATGAAGACGCTAAGGCCCAGAGAGGGGGCCTGATTGGTTCAAGGTCACACAGCAAAGTCCTGGGCAGAGCTGGGCCAAGCCAGGTCTCAGGCCCGGGAGACCAGCCACCTTTATATGCTCATATAAAGATGAGTCTCCCTTTCCCTTCCATACCCAGAACCTCTTGGACGCCCAGCAGGCACCTCACCACTTCAATTTCTCCTGAATGGCAAGGCTGAACAAGGGACAGGGCGAGCGCTGTGAGTGACCTCAGCCCCAGGTGCTGACCCAGCTCCCCCTGACACTCCCTTGCCAGGCCCCAACCGTGTGCCCTACACGTTCCCTCACGTTGAATCCCCACCGACAGCCTCTGTTGAGGGTCTTACAGAGGGATTGACCCACCCCCACCCAAGCTCCAGGCTAGAGATGAGGGTCGGGGACTGGAGGCTTAAAGCTCCAGATGCTTGGGTGGCCCTTACATCCCCTCATCTCCTCTCAATTCCAGGATATATAAGGAGATGCCATCAGTCTCCATGACAACCATTGCCTCTGACTTCCAAAGGCCCAAAGCTCAACTTTCCTTGCACTCCACCTCCTGAGAAAGGCATCCCAAACTCTCGGAGGAGGAGACCTGGGGGTCTCAGGCTGGGGTGCTTTGCCACAGATTTTTGGGAGCTGGGGGGCCTCTCAGGCCCTCACGTTTTATAGCTGGCTGTTAGACTAAAAGATCCAGCCTGAGCCCCCTTCCAGGTCAGGGTGAGGCCCACTGGGATCCGTCCACTTTAAGCACAAACCTATTTTTTTTTTTTTAGGGATAAAAAATATTCAATAAAGTGGAAAGAAACAAACAAACAAAAAGCTGGGGGAGCAATATTTCTAGACAAAATACCAGACAAAATAGACTTTAAAACAATAGCTATATTACAAGAGACAAAGAAGGACCAGCAATTTCACTTCTGGATATTTTATCTGAAGAAACCAAAATCACCAAATAGAGAAAACATATATATCCTTATGTTCATTGTGGCATTATGTACAATAGCCAGGATAGGGAAGCCAACCTTGAGTCCACCAACGGATGAATAAAGATGTGAAGCATATACGCCATGGTCTGTCTAGAAAGTATCCACCCATCAGCACAAACTTACTGAGTGCTTGGTATGTGCCAGGCCCTGACTGGGCACTGGGGACTCAGTTCCATGAGCAGCCACCTGCTAGAGGGGAGACCGGTCATTAACAAGTTGACAAGGTCAAATTTCAAGAGAGCTAGGAAGAAAATTAACCTAGGGATATGGAAGGAGGCGCAGGCCTTGTGAAAATCTGGCAGAAACCAGGCAGAAGGAACATCTAGGGCAAATCCTGGGGCAGGAAACCTTTAGGGAGGAACGGCAGGACACTGCCTGCAGGGTAGAGCCTGGGGAAGAAGCCCCAGAGTGTCCTAACTGGTCCCTTCAGCTCCCCTGGGGGAGGATAATGCCTGTGAAACGGGACTGATGCGAGGGTTAATTGCGATGGAGTTTGTGGACACACACAGCACAGGGCCTGGCACGGAGTTTATGTGCTCAGTCAACAGTGGCTGTCCTTCATGGTCCACAGCGCCCACCACCCTCTGCCGGCTGGAGTCCTGGCTGGTGCCTACAGTGGGTGCTGGGGCCGGGGAGCAAAGGAAGAGATCCAGGCCCGTGTCCGGCACAATCTACACTGTCTAGGCAAGGGTCGGGATCCCAGGCCTTACGCTGGGGGCGCAGGTCACCCGCGTCACTGAGGTCTCTCGCGGTTCCTAAGCAAGAGACAACCTTCACAAGGCCGTGTTGTCCCAGCCCCCGCTGAGCCAGGCCGGACCCCCAGGACTGGGCAGGGGAGGCTAGGTCAGGAGTGGGGGGTGGAGTGGGTAGGAAAGCAGGGGGAAACAGGGCTCAGGTGCTCCGCGATTCCAGGGCAGGTCTCGGCCAGCTCCGCGCTCTGTCCCCAGAGCAGGTGTCCCTGACCTCCGCGGCTGGCATTCCAGCCCCCTCACTTCGGCAGTCTCTTTCATCCTGGGCCCGGGGTCACGGCCCCTCCCGCAGAGGGAGGTTTAGAGGAGGAGCTGGGGCCCCAGGGCAATCTAGAGGGGGAGGGGCTCAGGGCAGGTAGCCGGGACTGGGCCTTCCCGGTTGGCGGCCTGCTTCCTCCAGGCATCTGGGGGGTTTTTGGGGTTCCTCCCCCGCTGGAGGGGAAGGTCGGGTGCCCGAGCAGGGACAGGGCCAGCCCTTCCACCACCGCCCCCCGACGCCGCCAGGACCGGGGGTGTCTCCCCGCCCGTTCAGGTTCAGCCAAGCAGAGATGAAACCTGAACCCAGGTTGGGGGCGGGGCTGCCTGCTGCTCAGACGGGTCTGGCCTACGCCTCCACCCCTTTTCCCCCACCTCCCGCACCCTGGCTGGCTTCTGGAAGAGTAAGGTCCGAGTCCCCAAGCGGCTGGAGTAGGTGAGGTGGCGACTCAGCGGGAGCGGACTGGGCGTCCGTCGGGCCCCGCCGCCCCAAGGCTGACCCTCCTCTCTCCTTCCCGGGTCGTAGGGCCCGCGATGGAGTCCGCAGCCTGGGGTGGCGCCCCGCCTTGAGAGCCCCCGCAGCCTGCCATGCTGCCCCGAGGGCGCCCCCGGGCGCTGGGGGCCGCCGCGCTGCTGCTGTTGCTGCTTCTTTTTGGATTCTTCCTGTTCCGCGAGGATCTGGAGTGTGAGCGCCGCGAGCGGGGAGGCCCGGGATCCTTCCCCTGTGCGCTAACGCCACGTAGTCCTCCAGACGGGCGGCCACGCGGGGCTGCTGGCCTCGACGGAGACCAGCAGGTGGACCACCAGGGCCACAACCGCTCGGACTGCGTCCCGCCACGGCCGCTGCCTCCCAAGTGCGAGGTAGGTGTGCGCGGCCTCTGGTGGCGGGAATCCCGGGAACACCGGGCCGGCCACCTGGGTCCCTCTGGGAATCTAACAGCTGGCGTTGGCTCTGGCACTGACCAGCCAGCTAGGAGCGCCTGGGGTTTGCGCCTCCTCTTGGATCAGTCTCGGTTTCCCCACTTGTGAAATGCCGGAGGTGGGCTATTGCTCCCCACCACTCTTCCCTAGCTCGGATGGCTGGAGGGGGGCTACACTGCCCTAGGCCAGGCCAGGCCAGCTCAGCCGCGGGTCCTCACCACCTAGTGCACAAGGGCGCTGCTGCTAACCTCAGCGTCTCTCCCCCAGCTCTTGCATGTGGCAATCGTGTGTGCAGGACATAAGAGCAGCCGCGATGTAATCACCCTGGTGAAGTCCATGCTCTTCTACAGGTACAGCCAGGTGTTGGGGGTGGGGGGGCCAGAAGTGGGGAACAGAACAAAGCCTTGAGCTTTGAGGATCACAAAGTTGGTGTTTCCACTTCTGAGTGTCTTGGGGTAGGGCTTGTCCCATGTTGTTCCTTCTGGGCCCTTCCAGCTTTCTTCCCCTGTCCCTCCCAAAGGAAAAACCCTTTGCACCTCCACCTGGTGACTGATGCCGTGGCCAGGGGCATTTTAGAGACGCTCTTCCGTACATGGATGGTGCCCGCCGTCTGGGTCAGCTTCTACGACGCTGATGCGCTCAAGGCAGGAGCCCTGGCCTCTGTGACTCCTCCCCAGCCCACCCAGCCCCTCCTTCCTCCCAGGGTGAGGGGGTGGAGTCGGGAGAGAGGTTAGGGTCAGCCGCCACGCCGCCACGCCCCTGAAGCTCAAATCCCTCACCCCTCCTGGGGCTCACCCCTCTGCCCCCTGTGTCGCCCTGAATGTGGGCTAGTACGCACAGGCCCTTCTTTGCCAGGCTCAGGCCCTGCCCTTCCCACCCACAGCCCCAGGTCTCCTGGATCCCCAACAAGCACTACTCTGGCC